TGCTATGATTTGATCCGTGTGTATCGGTTTCCGGTAAACTGTTGTCCCCCTTGGGCCAACAACATGTCTTGTCACGAGAACTTTCCTGTATGGTAAATGACCATCGCTCTCCTCTTGTTCAATGAATTGGATGCCGAAGTTTCGGCTTATTAGCTGAAATGTCTCTTATAGTTTGGACGGCTTGAGGATGACAGGTGTCTTCCACGTAACATATCCAGAGCTTAGACTTTGCAACCTCCAGTGCAGTTTCCTCCAGTTCTTGCTTCACTATTTCGGTCATTAGCCCAGAGCCTGGTGTTTCTTATCTATTTGTACGCGTGGCCGTTAAAACTGTAATGTGTCAACGGCACCTATCCAGTAACTCCGTCATTTTTGGCTGGCCTCCATCTCATTGCTCGTAGTTGAGGCTCCTGATTGTTCTAGGAGGATCGTCATCGTTTGCTTCGCCAGGTTTATTATTATCTTATTCAACACCTGACCAATACACAACAACAACAACAAGGGGAAAACAGAGGTAGACAGTGGAAAGGTTTGGAAGGTTTACAAGGTTAATGTGCTGTGTTGGTAGAGAGCTTCCCGGTTGCCCAAGCCGAGGAAGAGTGTTGACTTAAAGGACCTCACCCCGGCTGGCTTGGCGAACGACCTCGGTGGTTCCGGATATACCCGTTCCAGCAAAAGGTTCGGCGGCAGTGTTTCAGGACGTGGTTTGTTTTCGCCTGGCAAGCGTTCTTCATATGATTAGCCACATATGTCCGTTTAACAACACTGTGACGTAGCGGACATGACTCGCCACTAAATAAAATCACTGCCCCTTTCTTCATCCTGGCGAAGCATTGTATTCCAGCAATCTTATGCTGTAGTTCTGGGGAGCATTGGGCCCATGTTTGACAAAGGAACAAATGAAAGGCGTATGAACTGAGCAATCAGTCACCGGCTCCCAATGGGCGCGATTCCCTGAATTCGCTCCGCTGCCTTGCGGCAAGCTAATCAGCCAAAGGCTCGGAGTGGTGTCCCCTAAGTCAACACCCTACTTCGGCTTGGGCAACCGGGTAGTATCTCGCCCTCTGAGGAAACCATGGACATTGTTGTGTTGTTTTTTTACTGTTTCTGTACCTTCTTTTGAATCCCATGGTTTCTGATGGCTCTATATCTATTCGTACTGTTGCAATATATATATATATATATTTATATATACCCCGAGCCTTTGCGCATAAAGACCTAACCCACAAGGCAACGGGACGAATAACGGAGACCGTTGACATCCGGGTAGTTCATTCGCCTTCTTTGTGTCCAGTGGCAGCGCACAGAGAAGCCGGTGGCCAACAAGGTTGTTCATTCGCCCTCCGTTAGGTACTCACTTCTGGTTACAGAAGTGAGTGGTCAGTGACCCTATAGCTGGTCACATTGGCTTTGACACAACGCCGTACGATCTCCTGTGTTATTTGATGGAGAACCAAGTGACCAGACCAGAACTCCCCACGCTCGGAGACGCTGCCGCTGATTGTCTGCGACTGCTTATTCATCTCGCCTGAAAGGCAAACGAGACTTATTAGCAGTTATCTCCACAAGGAAAGCATTCCTCGATCCGCAACCTGGAGACGCGCCCGATAACGTACAGCTCCACCAGATTGGTGTCAATTGAAGTGTCGCTGGTCTTAGACATTGTATTCCTTGGCCGATTCCCTCCCACTCGGAGGTTCCACCATCCATCCATTTTCAAAGGTGGTTGTAAATCACTTAAGTTCATTTGATCAACTATGATCCCAGCGCCAAAATGCAGTGGACCCAGTTGCCATGACTCATATCGCAAGAATAACGCTAAGTAACCACGGCAATGGTTAAAGGCAAATAGAATGTAAAGGAAATGGAAACAAGAAGTGGGTTAAACTAATCAGAATGGAACAAAAATCGACAGTTATATACACGAAACTGAATGCAGGAGCGTCACTGACTTTGTGACTGGGCCATGTCTGATGCAGTCTCCAATCATCGAGGTGGACCGTTTCGAGGCCCCCATCCACGAAGACGACACGCACTAACCTAACCGAGTTTCTCAGTCACTTTCTTCATGCCACGATGCCACTTCATGAATGGCCGCCTCACGGTTTCGCCCAACTTGGTGAAGCCATTACGTATAATGCACGCCGATGAAGCCGGTCAACGGGCATACGGATGACATGGCCTAGCCGACGCAAGCGACTAAAACAAACATTCGACAGAACCACCAGAGGGCTTCTTGCCAAACACCAACCGGCGGACCTCAGCATTACTCACCCGGTGTTCCCACCAGATGTGCGCAATACTCCGCAAGCCCCGGCGGTCAGGTTAGCCAGTGGCCGAGTGGTCTGCGCGCCTGGTTTGCAACCATAAGGTCCCCGGTTTGAATCCACTTAGGGGTGGGTGTCCTGGCGGTATACTCAACCCGCGCGCGACTGGTGGTGGTCGCGCGACAGTGAAGCGCTGTTACGGTGTACAGCTGACATTATTATTATTGTTATTGTTATTATCATTAATTACCGGTGGTCAGACACGGCCAAGTGTCTAATATCTTCGCCACGAACTGGCCAGGTCTCTAATCCAAGCAATAACAGCGTCCTTACACAGTGTTATACACCCTACTTATCACTGACAGACTGATATCCCGCCATCTCTATAGATGATTGAGTCTATGGAAAGCCATACGGGCCTTGCCGATACACCAAGTAAGTTCCTGAATGATGTGACCACTGGAGGTGACACAGCTACCAAGGTAAGTGAACCGATCCACCACTTCCAGGGGCTTTTCGTTGATAGCTAGTAACGGTGGTGTGTCGGTCCAGTCCTGCAGCAGTAGTTTGCTGCTGGGGCGTGCAGCGTTGCGCGTCTGTCTGTCCATTAGTGTTAGCATAGCCACTGCATCAGACGCAAGCTGAGCTATGTCATCCACATACTCAAGTTTCTTCAGTCGGCCATCTGGTAGAACTTCCACTTCGGTAGTCTGTAAGTGAGTAATGTGTCCGCTGTATGCCGTAACGGCTCTTCGCTGCCGTGCGACCACCACCAGTCGCACATAGGCTGAGTATACCACGAGGACGCCCACCCTATGCGGATTCGAACCCGCGCTGCAAGATTACGAGACATGATGGTTACCTCTAGGCTACGGGCCCACAAAACTGTACCGTAGTCTGAAAGAAAACCGATTGGTTCATGTTCGATCACAAAGTTGAAGAAGATGTAAGACAACCTTGACGAACGCCACTTGTCGTAGTTAACTCAAGAGACAGTTTCCCATAGACCCTTATACGGCATCAGAAATCATGGTAGTGGCTTTAGATTAGACAGGAATTTAGCTAGCACCCATTTCATGGATAGGCATGGCCACAAGCTCGCTTGGTCAACCGGGTCGAACTTGGCTCTCAAGTCAAAGAAAACCACCATAGTCGGTCATTTGTATGTGTGTCTGTTAAGTATGGCCCGTACCCGATAGACGGAACAGAACGCGCAGACGTAGTATGGAACCGATTAATGAAAGCTTCCTACGTTACAGTGACTAAAAATACCTGAACGAAAAGGCAGTGGAATAAGGAAGCTACTGGTTTACATCATATAACCTTCCCAGTCAGCGGCCATGAGGATGGCTTCTGACTAATACCGAATGTATTAGGTTTTGACATAGATCCGGATGTGAATTCCGATGTGAAACCATCCAACTGCGATAATCAGTTCACCCCTGTTTGGTCCACCCCCGGTCGGCGTAGCGAATGAGTTGTTGTCAGTGAGTTTGAACCAAAACGGCGCCAACTATTCAAGGGTCCTCTGTTCTGTTGAATTGCCTCTCCGATTACCACTGCTGAATTTGCCTAAAAAAAGGCATCAGCAACACGCCGGTACACAGTACCGACGCTTCGCTGCCGTACAACTACCACCAGTCGCACGCGAACTAAGGATACTGCGATGATCGTCCTGCCCCTACATAGGCTCGGACCCGCGCCGTCAGATTACAAAACAACTTTGTTACCTTTAGGCTACAGGCCAGCTGTATTTGCTAGATTCACTCCGCTTGTGTCAACTATAAAGCACACCAGATTTAGACATCAGTATTGTGTATCACCAGTGCTGGCTTGCCGAACAACCTCCTCGTGGTGCCAGCTGGGTGGTTCGGGATTTTCCCGTTCCAGCAAATGGTTCTGAGGCAGTGTTCCAGGACGTGGTGGGTTTTCGCCTGGCAAGCGTTCTCCCTATGTAAAGCCACATATGTCCGTTTAACAACACTGTGACGTGGCGGACGTGACTCGCCACTAAATAAAGTCACTGTCCCTTGCTTCATCCTGGCGAAGCATTGTATTCCAGCAATCTTATGCTGTAGTTCTGGGGAGCATTGGGCCCCTGTTTGACAAAGAAACAAACGAAAGGCGTATGAACTGAGCAATCAGTCACCGGCTCCCAATGGGCGCGATTCCCTGAATTCGCTCCGCTGCCTTGCGGCAAGCTAATCAGCCAAAGGCTCGGAGTGGTGTCCCCTAAGTCAACACCCTACTTCGGCTTGGGCAACCGGGTAGTATCTCGCCCTCTGAGGAAACCATGGACATTGTTGTGTTGTTTTTTTACTGTTTCTGTACCTTCTTTTGAATCCCATGGTTTCTGATGGCATTATGTCTGTTAACAGACTTTTGCATATATATATATATATATTTATATATATTTATATATATATATACTTATATATATATATATATATATATATATATATATATATATATATATATATCACCAGTGCCAACGTCGCATCTTCCATTGTGCAACCATAAACAAATTTGCTTACAACCATTTCACATAGATCCATTTGCTGTGTTCTTGTTTCCCAACCCCACCGAATTCACCATTGCTCTGACCTTATCCCGACGCGTCTTCCCGCGAGTCCGTCAATCATCATCTTGAAAAGCCTCGATTGTTACCTCGTTACGTACACCGCACTCACACAGCTTCTTTAACTTTTTCTCCCACCCCTCTCTCATACTCAGACATTAAGAGTTGGGTCAGTTTGACCGAACTCAACCTGGCAACCAACCAAATCACCAAAATACCAGACGACATCGAGTACTTGATCAACCTGGAAGTCCTCATTTTGAGCAATAATCAGCTCAAGGTAACATCGCGCTTTCTCCACATCCCATTCTCCCCGTTCCATGCGACTGTGTGCTGTTCACGTGTCTCCATATTTCACTCTTCTGATGATGTCTCACTAATTTTTCAGCGTCTACCAACCACAATTCAAGAGCTCCGGAAGCTACAAACCCTGGACTTGGAGGAAAACCATTTGGAGTGCTTACCTTTAGAGATTGGTGAGTGGGGAGGAGCCGTCACTTAAGCCTTGAAACGTTTTGCTTTACATCCTGTTCCACACAATCCCCTGGGCATCGCCTACTCTTGTGACGGTGGTTGTAGAAATGATTTGTTCGCGTAAATGGTTACCTTTACTACTACTGTTAGATTATTGTACTGGTTCAACCCAGATACTCGCAAGTCAGATTAGTCAAATCCCAATCCGGAAAGGCACCAGCCGATTGTTTCGCCCTATTAGGGCTCGTCAGTAGTGCTCATTCTCTCCGTCTCCTGCCGGGGATCGAACCCATGACCACTAGCAGCTTAAGCCAACTAGCCAGCAGCTAATGCATTTGAGAATACAATGAAGTGAATTTACCAAATTCCGCCCTATCTTCACCGTTCGGTTCAAATCCCAACTTGCGCGCCGGTATACTTGTTGGAGTAAACTTACATTCAGGGTATGTCCATACAGTTGACTTTGTAGCTGCGCTTTCTCCTTGACCTTTAGCATCCTGATTAGCGCTTAAAGGCCACAGTTTTTGGAGACGGATCACAATTCCCTATCTATGTTAACGCTATCACTTACCGCGTTGACCGCACCCAAATGGGACCTAGCCGAGTGCTTTCTGGGCTCTGGTTTATTTTGATACCTGCGCTTCCTTTTGATATTCGATCAGTGCACTTTAGCGGTGCGGCAACTTTTGATCCTGCCCATCTTGTTTTTCTCGCCACCGGAGTGGATACATGAAGTCTTAACAACGCCGCCTTTATGTGTTTTTGCTATTAATACTAGGATTCTCACGTTGCAGTCTACGAGAAAACGAAATTTTAGCCACCATGCATGGCGACAATTTAATTTTATCGCCTCTCGAACTGGCCAATTTATGTTTCCACTGGACTTGTGTATGCCGGATGCCGACTCAGTTGTTCCACATTGCGATTTGCATACCCTGATGCCTCTGGATCTGGTGACTCCTGCGCATTTGGCTTGCAACCTTCGAGCTTCCCCCCCCTTAGGCGTAGTTTTGGGCACTCCTAACAATATGCAGACCCGTATGCAAATCTCTTGTATTCGCAAGGCTCTAAACCACTGGTACAGAGTGTTGATATGCATTGGTACTCCGACATACTCTGGCACTTCTCTCTAAGCATTTGGATACAAGTACAATGTGTCTTCAAGACTCAATTGACAGGTAGCGGCATCATAGCTCACCTTCGGCCACCGGTGTTGTCTGTTTTTTTTTCATAAGGCGAAAACTGCATACCTGTAGCTTATGGTGCCACCGATTCGATGACTGCCTTCAGCTACACTCAACTTGTTTGATGAGAACGCCTTGCCTAATCCGATCACGAGTCGTCTGTTTTGAAATAATAATAGTAATATTATACGATCTCTGGTTTATTAGACATACCCTCTTCGGCATAATCAAGTTTTCCATTGGTTTTCGTATGATAGTTACTGCATATTCCAGCTGTCAGGCAGAAATGAAACTCGTGTTTTTCACCTCCGTGATTGTGCAGTTCAAAGGCTTGAATGGGCACAGACAGAGAGCTCCGTGTACGGACGGAACCAAGTTTTATTTTCCTTAGGTATAGGATGAGGAGCAATTGTATGGTGATAAGCGAAACATTAAAGCTGAAATCATAATTATAAAATATATCTTCTAGTTTAGGCTGAAAATATATTCTATACATTGTGGCGTTATAAAATGGAGTAGCGAAAAACGGAAGTACTCTTTCATTTTCAGTTCAGCAGCTTTTTCTCAATGTGTTCATTGTTAACCCCAGGATCTCTGTGTACTTGTTCTTTTTTCAGGTCGGCTTAGTGAACTTCAACGGCTCGTGGTGCAGTCGAATCGTTTGACACAACTCCCACGGACGATCGGGTAGGTCAGCCGCCTGCTTTCCTTTTCACGTGCCCCGCCTGCTCGCCCGCGCATACGTAATGTTGCATTTCAACTAATGCTATCACGTTTGTTTAGCAACTAAAGAAAACGCTTTCCTAAATGCATGGTGGCGGTCTGAATGAGTCTTACTACGAGTATCTACCTCACCTCAACGAAAACAATAAATCCCCCTGCTACTCTCACAGAAACTGATCGTTTTTTGACCACAAGCTTCTTTCTATGTCTAATGGTCCATAAGGATTTTATTCCTTATACCACCGATTGTTGTGTCTATGCTTCCGATTCGGTCTTTATGCTCTTCGCCATTGGCGAAGTCATGCAAACTACATTCAATGGACATGGCCTATATAAGGTGTGTGGAGCTGCTCGACTTCTTGACTTGAGGTACGCCGACATCATTGTCTTTATCTGTGATAGCTCCCAGGTGTGCCATGCAGCACTTGGCAAATTCACACTAGCTGTTTGTCATTTCGGGCTATGCTTTGCATCGTGGAAATACAAAGTCCTCCTACAAGACTGGTAGAGCCCATCCCTACGCTAATCCTTGGGGGATCAGCTAGAAGTCGTTCAAGTATTTAGGAAGCTATATTAGCGCCCGTGAGATCGAAGACGAGGTCATCAACCGTGCAGCAAAAGTTTCTAAGCCGTCTTCCAATCTCCGCCACCTATAGCGCAGCGTGACATCACTCGGGGAGGTAGAGTTTACAATGTAGCCGTCCGTTCAACACTCCTGTACGGATGCGAAACCTGGCCCCCCAAGTCGACAGACATAAGAAGGCTTGTTACCTTCGACCATTGCTGCCTTTGCGGCTTAGCTGATTTCTGGTGAGAACACCGCGTGAACAATGAGCGTGTTCGGCGTCGCGTATCTGGTGCACATAGAGCGGGGGAACCGCTCAGTGCTGTTATATCAAGCACCAGGCTCCGATGGCTAGGCCACACGTTGCGCATTCTAGCACCGATTGCCGCATTGGGCGTTCTTTGTACGCCGCGGCTGTGGATGTACGAAGAGAAGGGGAGGCCAAGTGATGATTTGGTTAAGAGGAATGAAATCCGTTACCTCGAACTTGGCGTCGGTTGGTGTCCCTCCGACTGTCTGTATGGGATCCGAAGGAATATGAACACATTTGGTTGGATAAACTGGTTGACATGGCGATGAGCCGGACCCACTATCGTTTGTATTGTGGGTTTCTTTTTCCCTCCTTCTCTAGTTTATCTTCTCCCTCCAACGACCTTCTCACACATGATGATTAATATGGCACAAAGCATCATATGTCTTGTCTTTCGGTTTTTATACTGTATTTTGTGATGTCTTTATCTTAACTTTTCATATATCTTTTTGTAATGCGGCACAATAGCTGAACTGTGTTTCCCACCTTTAACTTATGTGGAAATATGATGATGATTACGACCTTGTAATTTCATTTGCTTAACTATTAACTTCAAGCGGTCTGTTGCGAGTGTTACTGGCTGTTCGCATGGGCATGTTTTGGATGGGGTATTTATTAGGTTAATAAAGTGGTGAGTAGATCTGTACAAATGAAGCTTTTAACTGCAGCGAGCATAAAACGAGGTCCTTCCAAGCTCCAGAATGCATACCTGCGTGACGAAGGCGCTTCTGTCATGCCCCACGATGCATCTGATAGCTTGCATCCTATTCCGGTTTTGTTTTCTTCTCCTTTGATGTGGTCTTGGAGCCACTCATTTAGCGACGTGTTCCCCGCTATGGCGCTGGAACGCCACAGAACAACAAATGGTTATCGTCGTGTTATCCGCACACCATTATGATTTCAGTAGGACAGTATCGAAATAAAAGACAGCAGAATCCACAAATATTTTAGAACCACTTAGAATTTCTCGTGGATACATGAGTCAGCGTTACATTATCCCAGGAACTGCAGAAAATTGAGCCCTTGTGGGGTTGATACTTTCCCGTTGCTCGCAGCCCGTCGCGGGATAAAGTGGAGCTTTTTCCAATCTAGCATTTTCACGAAGAATACACACTCACTCACCACCGGTAACCACCCGAGTCGATTGTTGTCCGAGTTTGTTACATCAGGTAAGTCGGATCTTCTGCATCACGGGGAGACACACGCCAACTACGAGCGACGTCAATCCCACTACCGTCACGTACGTGTCTACATTTTCGGTTATTTTTATCTATTTTTATCAAACTGTTTTCGTCACCTTAACCAAATTGCGTCATGTCTGGATTGAGACTATTTAATAAACGGGGTGAATCGGGGAGGGCACAGTCCTCCCGTGCCCGTTCTTATGTGCTGCTTCTTGGTCTGAGAGGAGAGTAGGGTGCTGTGCAACCAGTGGCTGTTTTATCCACCTCTCTAACTTTTTCCATCTTCTCTACACGTTTTAATACTTGCGTCACGTCACTACTTTTGTCATCATTCACAGCGACTTTATTTTCTCTTATTTACTCACCTGATATACCCTGATAACAAAACGCTATTTGTTTCTGATTTCCGCTTATGCTCCCACCGACTGCAGTTTTAATGTTGCCAAGGACACATTCTACTACGAATTGAACGCGCTACTACGCAGTGCTACTAGTTCAGATATTATAGTAATCGCAGGGGATATGAACGCATAACTAGAGCGTCTGTGCTGTTCAGCAGCTCAGCTAGTTGGTAATTATGGGCTTAACTCCGAACGGACTGACAACAGCGAGCGTTCGTTGCAACTGTGTGCGGAGTACAAGTTGTTTCTTAGTAGCACCGCTTTTAGAAACAGTGGGCATCCAAGTGCCATTCGGCGTCCACCTGTAGCTGGCCAGAAATGGACCCACATGGATCAAATTGCCATGCATGCTTCCATCCTGGACTGTCGCTTGTTCTAGAGTACTTCCGTAGACTCTGATCATGCCTCAGTACGCTGTCGCGTTTCCTTGAAATTTACCGGGAGGCGCCCCAAGTGTCTCCCCCGATTGGTAACTAAGAAATTGTCTCAGCCATTGGTCAGGCATGCCTATCATGACGCACTGCGTACCGAACTTTCGCTGTCTTGTCTTAATGACGCTGAGCTTCAGTGGAATAGGATCTCGGCCGCCATGCACGACGCAGGAGCATCTGCTTGTTGCACTATCAATCGTCACCTCACAAGTCACTGGATCTCGGAGAGGGCGGTGAACCTGTTGGAATCCAGAAGAAACCTCCCGGCTGGCTCTGAGCACAATGTGACCAGATGGACTATTACGCGCGAACTACAGCGGAGCCTGCGTGCTGACAAGGCAGGCTGGTGGACCAGTCGGGTTCGAGAAATGGAGGAGGCAGGAGCAGTAAGCGATTATCGCAAGCTCTTCCAACTGATCCGCACCACCGGTCCCAGGAAACCAGGCGTCAGTGACAGTCAGAGACAGCGCGGGGGCACTGATACACAATAAGGAGCGCCGTATGGCTCGTTGGGCGGAACACTTTCAAGATCACTTCAGTTGGCCCGCTGTTTCCCGGGCTTCTCCCTACTCAGGTGATGCAGCACGAGCCATGGCCGGCTAGTTTAGAGGCTCCATCACAGGCTGAGGTCCGAAACGCAATCAAAGCCCTCAATCATTTTAGTGCTGCTGGCCCGGATTCCCTCCCACGTCCAGTATTGAAGGATGAAGATGAGGTCCTCTACAAAGCCACTAACCTCCCTATTCGAAAATATCTGGAAGGAAAAGTGTTTCCGCTAACTGGAGTGACTCGATTATAGTGGCAATATACAAGAAGGGCAGTCGCACCAACTGTGCTAACCACAGGGGTATTAGCCTAACACTAGTTGTGACAAAATTACTGGCCTCGATTTTCGTTCGTCGCCTCACTTTGGAACGGGAATTTTGGAATAGGGAAGAGCAGGTAGGTTTCCGCCCAGGACGTGGATGCATAAACCATATACTTACTTTGCGGCAGGTGCTAGAGCAGCGCCACGCATACCGCAGACCGACAATAGCTGTGTTCCTCGATTTCAAGAGTGCGTTCGATTCAGTCGATCGATGTTCGAAATATTTGCGCAGTAAGGTGTTCGGGCACGTCAGGGTCTACGGTGTCTTGTCGGATAGCTTTCCGACCACAAGTGGCGTTCGTCAGGATTGTCCGACCACCGTTTTTGTTCGATTTCGTCGTGAACTACATCATGGAGTGTTTGATTACGGAATCTCACAATGTGGGTGTTTAGGTTCTGCATGGTGAAAGACTAATTGATCTTGATTATACGGACGATATCGTCTTGCTTTTTGACAATGTTGGGGTAGCACAATCAGCTCCGAACAGCCTCTCTATATTGGTCTTATTATTTGGTGTGCGCTTCGCACCTTCAAAGTACAAACTGTTGCTGCAGGACCGCTAGCCACTTGATAACGAGGAACTCCAGTTGGTTGATCGATTCATTTACCTTGGAAACTACATCAGCAGCGATGGGCGCATAGAAACCGAAATCAGTTTGCGCATTGCAAAAGCCAGGATTGTCTTCTTAAACCTGTGGCATTTTTGGTGACAGAAGGGTGTTTCCCTCCGTCTGAAACACCGTGTTTACAAGGCCACAGTGAGGGAGTGAGACTTGACCCCTTCGGTCTGAACATCTGAGGCGCCTTCAAGTCTTCGATCATCGTTGTCTGCTGAGCATTACTGCTGTCGGGTGGCATCAGCGTATCCGCAACGATGATGTGTGTAGGCGAGTACTAGGCAGTGATAATCAAGCTAGTTCCTTAGAACAACTGATAGCACTGGATTAGTTACGTTGGCTTGGGTACCTACTACGTATGCCTGGTCACCGCTTACCGACGAGGGCCTTGTTTTATCTGCCAGGTGTAGGGTGGCACAAGGCTCGAGGTGGACAGAAGTTGACTTGGCAGCGGGAGCGGAAGTCACTGACGACCAAACCGGCTGCCGTTGGTCCGTCTTGCCTTCCGGGCTGGAGTCTACTTGACTCGCCTTGTGCTTGACTCGAGACTTGACAGGGCATGGCTCGCAGTCGACACCAGTGGCGCGTCTGCTGCTTTCTAGTCGGATTGACTGTTTGGAGTGTGTTTGGTGCTGAATTATCTACGGGGTGATGACTGATTATGATGCGGGGCAGTGTAAGTCACAAGGAAGCTGTTTCGCTGATGCCGCCTTATTTTTGCATGATAGCTAGCTGCTGGACGGTATGTTGTTAACACAAAGTGTAGGCGCCTTCACTCTGGATGTTTGCTCAAGACATTGATTTTCCGGTAAGTCCCCCTTCTCTCCCTCTTATTATTCTTGATTCTACAAGTCATCGTGGTTGTATGACAGCGCTGCATCAGTTCAAGTGGCTGATGTACTGTTGTTGTTGATTGAATGATTGCTATGCCCTGATAAACCTGCTTCATTTTTCTCTTCGTTAAGCCAACTTCAAAATCTCGTTTATCTGGCCTCTGGGGAGAATGACCTTCAGAGCTTGCCGCTTGAAATAGGTGAGTTCCACTGTGCTACCTAATAAATTGTTGGTATGGAATACTTTCCATTCGCTACTTTTCATGAATCACTCTTTGTGAGTTCTGTCCAATCACATTGACTGTAAGATGACTCGTACTGTGACATTTTCCTATCCAGCTGCACTCTTGCATGTAAATAATGCCCATAGGAATGTAGGAAAACATAGTTGCAAAGAGCTCTTTTCGGTAACTCAAATCAGGCACATACGTCTACAAGGATAACTGGGATATGCATAAGTTAATGAAACCTGAAACAAAAGTAGGAGAGAGTCTGAATTCATTCGGACGGAAGTTAAATTGATCGGGCCAATTGGGAAAGCCTGTGTTGTCGGTGATGGCTGACCCATTTTGACCCCAATTGACAGCTCGCTGACCACCTCGCGAAGCAAATTGGGTCAACCGAGAAGTGATGCCACCTTTGATCTCATCAATTTTCTATGCGGATGGATCCTTATCACGGCCACTGCAGCGTGAGAGATTGCAGTGGCATCCTCTGCTTGCAAAGTTCCGGTTGCGTTAACTTACACTATCGATTCCGTAAGCTTAAGGAGGCGTCTCTTGATCTCCTTAGGATATCGTTTTGGCACTGTGTAGAAACCCTTGAAGGCATCACTGGTCATCATTTCGTGTCCACTAACCAGTCTCAATTGCCATTGCCCAATTCAGCATATGGTTTATCGGATAGGTTGCGCTCATCCTTTGTTACGTCACTGAAGGAACGACGCTTACCACTGCATTGGTACTATACTTACTGGGATGTTTTCTGACCGATGACCTGGATGTCCTCGAATAGATGACGTTTAAACCATGCGAATCTAGTGCACTTGTGTGATACACTACTGCTAACTCGGCACATTCGACTGGATCCGAACCCCTAACTTAAGCCGCTCAGTCGTATGTGGAGACGGCAGGCCATCATGACTAATGTCCAACTCCGATATAGCATTTTCGTTCATCATGTGAATGTGCAGAGGACAGCGCTGACTATGACGCCTTTGCAAGCCGCCACAACTCGCAGTGGCAAGTAAGTTGCTAAAGTGGTTACTGATTATCAAAGAGTAGTAGGGGTATTTAATGTTTTATTGAGAAAGCTCATCGTACTTAGATTCAATGAGACAGCCACTGCATATCCAGTAAAGCACTATGCGGCCGTTCTGTACCATTGTCTTAAGTGCCGCTATCCAATTTAGCACATGCCCTCCTCTATCAGGTTGCTTCCTTATTTTACATCACTGTTGGAACGACTCATGCCACTGATGGTTGCTCCGTGCTTACCAGGATGTGGCCTGAATTATGAACTAAATGTCCTCGAATAGATGATGATTAAACCATGTTGGTAAACGACTGCTGAGTCGCACGTGAACTCTCGACTGCGCAACAGTATGCACTATCTGTGAGATTGCCCTGGAGGTGGTTGGTTTAGGAATCAGTTATCACGAATTTTTAACGGTGATCTACCCTGACAAGGATAGATGACCTTTGCTAATGGAATTCCTTGCGACAGTAAGCATTAAGGTGTAAGTCACTTACTTGGTGCACGTCTCCCACCATTGAACTCGGCACTTCGGGATAAGGTATAGAATTTGCTGATTACCTATCTCCTCAGATATGTTTTAGAGCAAATCGTTGTATGGTTCTGCAAACCGCTTTCATTCTCCGTTTGTAACAAAAAACAGGGCTGGAAAAGAATATAATTCGTTGAAATGAAAGTCCACCGTTTTATATATCAGCGAGATAAACTACTGTCCGAAAACTATGAAATGGACGTACTCCTATCAGAGCCGACAAAATCACAAATAGCACTGGAGTACGTGTTATGCTCTACGTCTGTCTACGATTCCAGTTGAACTGAATTCCTTCCCTGCTAACTTCAAACTCCAGCCGAGAACCAGAGTGGAAAAGCTTAGAGGCAACAGCGTGTTGCGCAACCAGCTACCGAAGCGGATACAAGTAGTATGAAATCAACAAGCATTTTTCTAAGTCAATCAGGAAGGTTCATTTATCAGAACAGCTACGTCCACTGTCCTGATTGGTAGATCAGTTCCGCTAGCCAGTGGCGAGGTTGGTACGTGCATCGTGTAGACCTGAATGTTCCTGATGCGAGCATTCCTGAAACATCTTGATGTTTCTTTTGTACATCATTGGTTCACATCACTTTCCCATTGAATTGGTGTGTTTTGGTGGTTGATCTTACTCTCCCTGACTGTACTCAAACCAGTAAGAACTGACCAAGGTAAGCACCAACTAGGAGTAACTGGGACACTGCCATATATGATGGCAGGAATCAGGAACATTTTGATTCTCCTCAAGAATTAACAACTCGGCTAGCATTCAGAGTACCGAACATGACCCGTTACAACAAATGCGAAGCGATTGCCCGAGCAGGTTTAAAGTTTGCAGTCACAAACTGTTACTTAGCTTTTGTCTGAACTTACTGTTCTCATAACACAACGACGGAGGGCAAATTGTCTTCATTCGTGCTTCTCATGGCTCTCATTTTTCTTCGTTCAATTCGCGAATGCTCATAATCTGGTCTTGTGGTGCCGCATCTATAAACGCTCTCTTCTACCAACAATGTCACCGAATTGCTGGAAACATGTTGATGCTTCTCAGTTTCTAGTGCCTCGATCCAAGAGCATTCAGATTTTATTCACTCTAAGCGACGTGCGTCAAAGTGCCGGACGACTGGTCCACATGCCCCCACAGGCTACTCCGTGAACATCACTGAACTCGTCGGAACTTCGATGGGATTTGAAACCGGTGTTATGATTTATCACTTTGTTTAATGATCGACTAGGCTAAACACATTCAGTTTTTACAGGTGATTCCATGGAGAAAATTCCACTAATCCCGATGTTTTACGTGCGTCCCCTCACTAAACAAAATCAAGGAAATTTGCGCCGTCATGTTTGGCGTGACCCATTCCGCTCACGCTACTCCAGACGGGTTCGTTGACAATCGTTCTCTCATCCACATAGAGTGGGCCAGCAATTTCGACCCGCTTACTCGACCTTCTCTTCTTTGCTTAATCGCACCTGTGTGACTTATTGCCTACGTTCGCCTCGCCGGGTTGCTTATCCCACCACCTCTCTCCTCCAACTAACTGATAACTTGGCTCCATTTGGTTCTACTCCTTCTTCACGTTTCATCCTAATCACGTCTTACTTCATGGTTACCAGATTAGCCAATCAGATCACACATGATCTTTCGCGAGCACATCCAAGTGATGTCCTTCGCTGCCTGTTTCTATTATCTCCAGGTCGTTCCTCAACTCCTCCACTTAGCATTCGTCTCTCCCATCGAATGTTCGATCCTCGATTCAACTGCGATTTTTTATTTGCATTCTGATTGTTCGAGTTATCAGAGAGCTCAGGAAAGTCGCCCAGCTGACCGTCGGAATAATCAAGCTTAAAGTTAAGCAATCATTAACCAGTTATTAAGATCGCTCGGACTGATTCTGTTATTTCTGAAAGCCAGCAATATTCATTAGGATGTTCCGGTCACAAGGTGGCTTCTATATTCGCTGCTTCTCCATTGTTCCCTTGTCAGGCACCATTAACTGGAACCCTTTCCATCAACTTGACAGTAGATTTTTGCTTGGTTCTCTCTGTTTCAGGTGATCTACACAAACTGGAAACGCTTTATTTGAACGACAATACCAACTTACATGACTTACCGTTGGAATTGGCCAGATGCTGTAGTTTGCAGATCATGTCCATCGAGAATTGTCCCCTATCGAAAATACCCCTTGAGGTGACTGCAGGCGGTCCGTCTTTAGTGATCCAGGTTCGTTGCTTCCCTTTCATATGGGTTCTGATCACCTGCTTACTTCTACCCACTCCACTCCTCAACGTCATACGGCTGCAAGCAGACCGTCCCGACGATCATTGTTTATCTTCTTACAACACCCACCTGTTTAGGACTGTGCGTCGTTGAGGAAGTGTAGACGTTAAGACCCTGCATATTTGCTCCGGCTAATCAGATTTACACATGTTCCCTTCTCCACCTCTATGGTTCCTCACTCCACTGGTCATTATACTTTGGTGGCAGCAAGGTGTCTGTATTAATTATCAATATTCTGATGCTATCGTTAATGATGATGATTGTTGTAACGCTGCCCTTCGCCTCTGCTCTCTGCGAGGCCAACCCAGCTGGAGACAAAACAAAACACGAAGCCTACTAGATCGAAGTATATCAGGCAGAGAACATGGTCCATTTTATAGGTCACATTCTATCATCTCCGGTTGTACGTTCCTGAGCTGATTCACGCCACCTGCCTGGACCGATTCCAAACCTGCTTGCGGTCCGCACTGGTCAGCTGTATTCTCACTCACTCACGCCTGTCGCACAGTAACATATGTCATGACGGACTGCTTTCATCAGCTCCCCGCATGACTTAGCCGTGCTACCGTCTGTTGGTTAGCAACCCGTGTCATGATGACAGACGTCTCGAAGCCATGTCAGAATCGTAGTTTGCGGCCACCGATTAATGATGTTTTAGTTTCAGTTATTTTCCCATGAATTTATAGCACTTAGATTACAGTCTGGATAGGCCAGTTATCGATGCGTAAAAGCACCAGGCGGTGTCCCTAGCGGTGCGCATTCCCTGCTGGTAATCCTACCTATGACAGCTTGTGGCTTGCACTTCTCGCCAACAGGATATGCCACTAAGCCATGGGGGACGTTGGCTGACCATCATGGATTGCGGTCTAACTGCGATACAGCCCAACTCCTCCAGTTGAGTTTGCTTCACCAGCAAACTTACCTCCTATTTCCTGCCCCTGATCCATGTCTTGATTGTGTTGTCAGCCGGAGTACCTCAGCTAAGCTGATTGTAGCCTCCTTCCTAAGTAATTCGCTGGTGGCACGATGTTTGTGATGCGTTGTCTATCGGTAACATTTATCCCTCTATTTAAGCTAGTTGCTGCTTGTGAAATCACTCTGCCAGCCCACTGGAAAGCCTATCCTGTATGAACGACTTGCGTCAATTTACCCATCTTATGGTATGCTGGGAAGAGGCGCTACTGCCCCATTCACGAGTAGTATGATTGAAACGGAAAATCGTAAGGGAACGGGTAGACCATACGAACGGCCTAACACTAAGTCAACTCCCAGCGATTACTGATAGGTGTATCGCAGGACGAACTGCGGAAGTAGCTAAGGACGGCGGCTGCACCACCCAGTGTCCTGCAGGACATTCCTGGCAACATGCAGCATGGCGCAGAGGAGTAGTGTATTGAGAGATGAGTCAAATATGCATTATGCATTCCCATTCTGTAAACCACCAGTTTCTCGTACTTCGGTTTCTCGCAGCTAGATTTCTTGTCTAACGATGCTGCACTCGATTGGTCGCACTTCTTGGTGACAACTTATTAGGCCCAGAAGAAGTACTTGGCGGACGGTTCGAATTGGTCTGATTCTTATGGATCAGTCATTGAACCGCTACGACGACGTGTTGTTGGAAAACTAGCGACGCACTTTCCTTCTATCTGTTATGCCTGCACGATGCTCCCCGTCTCCAGTTACTTTTGTTTGAATTCCCTCATCTTCACTTTGTTGTCGCTAATCTTCGTCAATGGCGACAAGATTATCTGTCTGGTGAATCTATTATGCTATCGTCACTGAATAGCCATTAAGTAACTGAACTGCTTCTGGTCTTTGTACGGGTTAAAGCACCTGAACTCTCACCCAAATTAAAACAATGAAAGGCGAACTACCTACTTCCAGTGGCTTCACCAACCAGCCATGACGCCTTAGAAATCAAAGCATATCACCTGTTCTTCTCTTTGCAATGCATCTGGTAGGTGCTTCTTCCTGCCTGTTTGTTTCGCTTTTCTAAGGGACTACAGGACCCATCAAACAGCGCATGCTACTTTCGTTGCTGTGGTTGATGTACAAGACTTCCGTATATATATATATATATATATATATATATATATATATATATATATATATATATATATATGTGACACTGCCAGTTACATTACAATCCGCTGAGTGCCAGAACACAGAAGGGAAAGAGAGAACGACAAGTAGAGAAGAAGTGTCTCACAGCAAGTGGGCTATCGCGTACGGTCCATTCCGGTATGTACCACAATGTCCGTGGTTTCCGACCTAGAAGCTATGGAACAAGTGTAATCTCGCCTTGCTTGAGAGTTCACAACGACAGGCAGCTAAACAAGTCAGTTGTTTGTGCCCTCCCCCTTATCAACTTGAACTGATAATTCCAGATTGCCATGTCGACATTTGCAGCGTGATGTTGCAATGATGTCTCAGTTCTCCGTGGAACGCCACCCATTAAAACCTTGCCAAATGGCTGACTTGGGAAACCACCGGTTAAAGTTGGCCCTGAAGTATATCCGGCTGCGTAATGACGTTGGAATCTTTTCTTTTGAATGTGCGAATCGTCGAGCTGTCTTCCGACATGCTTCATTTCTGCTCGTACATTATGTATTGCAACTACTATCTAATATCACATCGCTCCGCTTCTATTAAGTGTTTTGAAGCGAGTTTACTAAGCTACAGCGTAATGTAACCGATTGGTGGCCACATGTGAACCTTCAAGTGAGCCCACCGACGCTTTTACCTTTCCGACAACAATTATTTACTCTACCCTTCTCACCTGTCGTTTTTTCACAAGTAGCAAATCGTTGTTTTATTTCGCCATCCAGCTCATCCGTCCCTTACTTCACCGTCTTGTGTTCTCTTCAGTACTTGAGGGTTCAAGGTTCCTTCAGCCAATTGTGAATGCCATCCTGCACTCTCAGCTGCCTACCGTTGCGACAAGCGCATCCCTTGCTCTTTCAACCCCATCGACCGGCACCACCGCAACTACTGTGCTTTCATAATTTATACTTTGTTTCTTTTTCTCTCCTGCACTGTGTACATCCCACACCGGTTGATCCAGGCAGTGCCTGGACCACTGATCACATTTTATTGGACGCGCGTCTCCTGAGCGGCTTAATGATAACTGCGTTTATGCCACGGTGTATTTTTTGACTTGAATGTTTTCCAGCGCCCACATCCGATGTAGCCCTCCGTCACTTCGATGTACCTTCATGAGGGATACTCGTTTCATCGTCTACCGCCTTCCTTGCGCCTCATCACCTTCACGGGCTTCTAGTCCCCTTCAGTCCGTCTTTTTCGTTCCCGTTTGTACATTACCTTATTGCGTTCTCGACCCTATCATTTGCCTTTGCTTCACTCCTTGACTGTGTACCTCTGGGACATATTGAAGAATACAACCCACCTTTGTGTATATTTTGCTGACTGTGTTTCTTCATCCTCCTACCCACCATACATCTGTCCTGTGTCCCTCCCTCCGCGTCTCCCCGTGTAGCATATTTTCTGATCCCAAGTGAGATTTTCCACTTCAGCAAACATCCATTGATTCAAAATCAGATGTAATAATCCATGTGCTGTAACATGTTTTTGCCATGCGCTAATCACGAAGCTTTTTGTTTATGGCTTCCTGCGTTTACGGCACATGGTTGTTCCACTTTTTTTCTGTCCGAGTCTGATTTCATGCTAGCTTGATGGATGAATGATGATTTCTGTCGGTGGTTGAGGCAGTTTTTTCTCACGCAAACATTAGACGCTGAATTCCGCACAGCTCGATACTTATTGACTCAGATCTCTGTGGATCGGACTCCTTTCGTCGGACATTTGAGCTTGATTAGCATCGTTTAGCTTAGTGTACACATCGATCTACGATGGTCCTGTTTTCTTTTTCTTTGCACTGACGGTACGTATGACGAGGTGCATTGGTTCCGTGTTACCATGCTGTTGTGCGGGAAGCCAAAGATCATGCTAATATTTAAAGTATTTAAATAAATCCTGGCTATCTGGAAATGTTAACGTAGGTAGTATCGACCGATCGAACACGGGGGCGCCATTCTCTCCTTTGCATCAAGTTATGAGGTGCCACTGAGCACTGATGTGATCGACCTCTTGTCTTTCATCGACGAAAACGGTATGCCGCAATTCATTCGGCTTATTTGTCCAGCCTCTTCATGTTTTCTCACCAATACTATCATTCACTCCGCTTGACGCACTAATGTCAGTGGTGCATGCGGAGTTGGCAGCTTGAAGGACAACATCCAATTTGCCAGTAAGGGTAATACACCATCATCATCATCATTATACACATCAGCTAGAGGTGGGAAAACACCTCCGCTATTGTGCCGCAATACATGAAAGAAATACATACATATAACACAATACACAAAAGAAAAATAGATACAACAGTTGCATGCCAGTTGAGCTACCAGCAACGGATAGGCATCGTTCCGGTAAGCTACCAGCCATCTACTAGGCAAAAAGAAAAAAAATTTATTATGTTTTACCCTAGGAAATGAGATCGTAGATGGAGGGGGAGACTAAAAGGGATGGGGAGGGACAAAGAAACTCACAGCAGGAACGCCACTGAGGTCGGCTCCTTGCCATGTCAGCAAGTGTATCCAGCCAAATGTGTTCACCGTCTTTTGGACCCCAACCAGGGAGCCGTGAAGCTCCAACCGAGGCTAGCTCCGAAGTGATGGACTTCATTCCTCTGGACCAAGTCATCGCTTGGCCACCTCTCCTCTTCTTCCACTCACATCCCCGGTGAGCAAACAGCGCACGTCGCGGGAGTCGTTGGGCTGGCATGCGTAACGCGTGGCCGAGCCATCGGAGCCTGGTGCGAGAAATAACGGTGCTGAGCGGTTCAGATCCTTTTCCCGGGCCGTAAACAATGGGTAATACACCAATCTTCCTTGTTCGTGTTTCGCCGTCACACATGCTTCTGCACGGGTTGAGGTGCGACCAAGTCGCTCGAATCTGCACCAGTAAAAATACAGTGTCATCAATAAAACTTGCTTGTATTCCGCAAGATGAAGCAACCGGCTGTATCTGGAAACGTACTTCATCTTAACAATAAAGCCAAATATTTGGGGCTCGGGTTGTCTGTTCTCCGAGCTATTTCGTTGCAGACGTTTCCTCACCACTCGAGGTGACTTCGTCAGTGCGTAGTAAACAAACTGATTGTTTTGTCGACCTGGTGTTAGCGAGACCATACGCGACGAGAGTGGGCAGATTATCCACAGCCTGTCAAAACGCTTGGAGCGTTGGGCTGAACGCTTTGCTATGCAATTTAACCAACCTGAGTTATCACTTTCTTCGGGCATTGAATGCCCTTCTCCTTGGGCCGTCTCCTTGGATCCGCCCTCACGCGCTGAAGTCGAACGTGAGATCAGGCTGTTGAAATTGCATAAGGCCGCAGGAGCAGATACTATTCCTCCAGCCCTCTTCAAGTTCGGTGGACCTGCTCTAATAGGTGATCTACACGAGTTGCTAGTAAAACTTTGGGAGCAGGAGACAGTCCCGACAGACTGGAACCGCTCCGTCATTGTCCCAATTTTCAAGGGAGGCTCCCGTTTGGTATGTGGCAATCATAGAGGGATCAGTCTGATTTCGATTGCCTCTAAATTGCTTGCCTCTCTCATTCTCCACAGACTGACTGGCAGTCGTGAAAGCCAAATTCGTGAAGAGCAAGCCGGATTTCGTCGAGGTCGTGGCTGCATCGACCACATCTTCACATTGCGTCAAGTGTTGGAGCACCGCCATGTTTATTGGCGACCCACCGTTGTCGTGTTTCTTGACATAAAAGGTGCCTTCGACTCAGTCGATCGATATGCCCTTTGGGACTGTCTGTTGAGGAAAGGTGTGCCTGATAAATATGTAAACATTATCAAAGCGCTGTACGCACATAGTTCGGGCAGGGTGAGGGTTTATGGCAAACTCTCGCCACCCTTCAGTATCACCAGCGGTGTGAGACAAGGATGCCCGCTGTCACCTTTCCTCTTCAACTTCGCTATTGATGAAGTCATGGAAACAGCGTTCGCTGGACACGACCTAGAAGGTGTGGAGCTACTCCCTGGTGAGCGACTTCTTGACTTGGAGTATGCAGACGATATTGCCCTAATCTGTGACGGCTCCCAAACATGCCAAACAGCACTGAACCGATTAGCACTGGCTGTCAGTCGTTTTGGGCTATGCTTTGCTCCATCAAAATGCAAAGTACTTCTCCAAGATTGGCAGGGACCCAATCCTGCGCTAACGCTTGGTGGTGATCTGCTGGAAGTCGTTCAGGAATTCAAATACCTGGGCAGCTATATTAGCACCCGTGGGATTGAAGATGAGGTTACGAACCGTATAGCAAAAGCTCGAGGTGCTTTTGCCAATCTCCGCCACCTGTGGCGCAGACGCGACATTACTCTCGCCCTCAAGGGCAGAGTTTACAACGCAGCCGTCCGTTCAACTCTCTTATATGGCTGTGAAACCTGGCCCATCAGGTCGACAGACATGAAGAGACTCGTCACGTTCGATCATCGCTGCCTTCGCAGCTTAGCTCATGTCTGGTGGGAACACCGCGTGAGCAATGAGCGTGTTCGACGTCGCGTATTTGGTGCAGGAAGAGCGAGTGAACCGCTCAGCACGATTATATCACGCACCAGGCTCCGATGGCTGGGCCACGTGTTGCGCATGCCAGCACACCGACTCCCACGACGTGCATTGTTTGCGCGTTGTGGGTGCGGTTGGAAGAGGAGGAGGGGAGGCCAAGTGATGACTTGGTCGCGAGAAATGAAAACCCTCACTTCGAAGTTGGCGTCGGTTGGTGCATCCCGACTGCCTGGCTGGGGTCCTAAGGACGGTGAACACGTTTGGCTGGACACACTTGCTGATATGGCTAGGAGCCGGCCCCAATGGCGTTTGTGTTGTGAGTTCCTTTGTCCATCCCCCTCCTGTTTAGCATCCCCCTCCAATCACGATCTCACTTGTTAGGCATAATATGACTTTCTTTTACGGCAGCCAGCTGTTAGCTCTCCGGAACGATGTCCATCCGTTACTGGGGACTCAGCGGGCGTGCCACTGTTTGTTTGTTTTTTCTTTTCTTGCCTTTTGTATTGCGGCACAATAGCTGAGGTGTTTTCCACCTCCAGCTAACGTGTAATGATGATGATGATGCTGATGATTTGTCGACCCTTGACTGGTGAGTAAGTAATGTTTGAACGTGACCTCTTCGATCCACGTCCCGTGATCATTGCTATTTAAAAGGTAATTGCGAGCTCGTCGGTAAGAGTCGACAAAGCACTCATTTTGCTTATTAATCATTGAAGAAGTCACCACGATTGGTGTTGAAACGTTTGCAGCGAAATTGTTCAGCTTGGAGAACAGAACAAAATCTGAACAGATAGTTCGCTTTGGGAAATCGTTGAGAATACGTATTACTGATATCTTAGTGTGCGTCCTTAATAACACCATGCTTTTGGGTTGGGAGCGACACAGAAACTCGCAGCGCAACTAATCTTCGGATCGGCTCTCTGCTGTCAACAAGCTTATCCAGCCGAACGCGCTCATTGTCCTTCGGATCATTACCTGAATGAAATAAGCCTCTTTACGCCTGCCGATCTACGGAGTTGAGCGAGATTGGTGTCAAGCCGGCGTCATTAGTTCCTAAGATTGGCAGAGCCGCCTGTTATTTTACCATGCTTTGATGTAGCTGCCCAGCTAGTTGAATTTCTGCATGGTTTCTACTTGATCCCCACCCACGGTCAACGCAGGAGTGCTTTCTACCAACTTTGGTAGAATGCTCTATGATTTACCAACAGTGCTAATCTTTCCAATGTTGCTTGGCATGTTTGTAAGCTGTCACAGATTAAGGCAATATCATCGCATACTCCAGGTCGAATAGTCAGTCACCTGGAAGTAACTCCACACCTCTTAAGTCATGTCCGTTGAATGCGGTTTTCATAACCTCGTCATTGGCCAAGTTCGGGGAGAGAGGTAACAGCAGGTATCGTTGTTTCACACTACTGGAGTTATTGAACGGCGGAGACAATTCGTCATAGTCGCTTAAAGCTTTCTCACATTGTTTACGCACTATAACACGTGGCGGGAAACACAACGCAGTAAGTTTCACTTACGCACTAAAATTCCTTGTTTGTCAATCTAAGGATCTAGCCCTTAGTTTACTGCCGGCTAAAATCACATCAATTGAGAGTTCGTTGCAACAGCTTCCAAGTTAAGTCCTTGCTCTGTGGACCATCCCTGTCCTCTGCACGTTCACAACACGCATGACAGTGGAGAATGAGCCGCGCTGTATCGCGGCTACGTATCAGTCATGACAGTCTGTTGCTGTCACCCATGGCTCAGTGGCATAAGTCGCCAACTCGCAA